TACTACATCTCCCACAATGCTGTGTGCTCAGCTGGCATCTTTCTCAACTTGATCAGACTGTCAAAAATTAAGACATTTTTTCACCATAACCATTTGTAACTATTTTACATCTGAGATTGCATATATGTAATATATGGTAGCAGTCCTACTATTTTTTTTAAATGGTATTCAGCAAGCTGTCCACTAGTATTCTCTTCCAAACACAGCCATGCTCTAAATTCTGAATAACATACTAGCATACAATACTACAGTACTAGCTCTTATATCGGTTTGTCCTCATATGTCTACAGTCCTTCCTGTGTAATGATGATGAATCTGTTCATCTTTGTACTTTTTCTCTATTTGGCTCCAGAACCGTATGGAAGAGAGTTTGTCTCTGTTCTATACAACCATCCACTCAACATGGTTTGCTAATTCCTCCATCATTATCTATCTGAACAAAATGGACATCCTGGCCGAGAAGATTCAGTTATCTCACCTAAAAACATACTTTCCTGGATTTGAAGGTAGTCTGCTGCACATTCAAGTTAAAGGCCGAATTATATGTGTGATCTCTAGTTTGACCTCATGATTTGCTCTTCCATCCCTTTTCTTTGTGGTTTGGCTCTACCTTCAGGCAAGCGTGGGGACGTTCATGATGCCATGCTGTTCGTCAGAAATTTATATACACAAAAAATGGTTTCCTATGAGGAAAAGCACTCCAAAAGCATATACTGTCACTTCATTTGTTCCACAGACACTACAGAAACCCGTAAACTCTTCAATGATATGAAAGACTTTATCATCATCGAGGGCCTAAACGAGTATAAAATGCTCTGAGCCCCAACTTGTATTCAGTTTCACTCACCATCAGACTATATTGATCTCAAAGCCAATCCATCTGCACTTAAAGACACTACTGTTTTATGAAGCCTTTAAATACTATTTTATATTAAAAATGTCCAGGCTTTTGTACTTAAGTGAATATTTCTCTGGGAAAGTTTTTTTATTTTTTTTGAAAATCTGAACAAAAATGTGTAAGAATCATAAACCTGCTGGTCGCACATTTTCTGTAATAATCCAAAAGCCAATGGAAAAATCATATTGTTTTTTTGTTTTTTTTTAGAGAGATCCTAATTTCTGGGTTGGTCTACAAAAAAATTGTCATGACAATGATGACAGCTGCATCCGAAAGCTAACAATGTATGTGGCGGTAGGAAGTCAACAAGGCACATCCAAATTTAAAGATTATATTCTTATTAATATTTATATATCTTGTAAAGTTTCAATAATGTAAAACACTAAATTGAATATTCTCTTTAAAGCAGCACTACGTAACTTTTTCTGTGTTCAAAATTTGCAAAATGTAAATAATGAGCGAGTACATCATGAATTCATCTTCCAAACCGCGTTTTTATTTTTTTTGAAAATCTGAACAAAAATGTGTAAGAATCATAAACCTGCTGGTCGCACATTTTCTGTAATAATCCAAAAGCCAATGGAAAAATCATATTGTTTTTTTGTTTTTTTTTTAGAGAGATCCTAATTTCTGGGTTGGTCTACAAAAAAATTGTCATGACAATGATGACAGCTGCATCCGAAAGCTAACAATGTATGTGGCGGTAGGAAGTCAACAAGGCACATCCAAATTTAAAGATTATATTCTTATTAATATTTATATATCTTGTAAAGTTTCAATAATGTAAAACACTAAATTGAATATTCTCTTTAAAGCAGCACTACGTAACTTTTTCTGTGTTCAAAATTTGCAAAATGTAAATAATGAGCGAGTACATCATGAATTCATCTTCCAAACCGCGTTTTTGTCTTATTCCGAGTCACTACGGTACACTTATAATAAGTACTTATATTTGGACTATTGTAGGCTGGTCGGGTCGTCACCGCTGCGGAGTAACACATACCTGCGTGAATCGCCATAGACACAAACTTAGAGAAGTAGCTCCGGTTGGAATGTTCTTCCGCGGGATGTGTGCAGTTCTGTTTATTAACCGCTAGAGCGCCAGAAGTTACATAGTGCTGCTTTAAAGCACTTGAATACTACAAGCTCGTAATCACGACTTCATAAATGGGAAATAGGAAATTTCCGATAGCACGCGAAGGCAGCATTAATCTCACAAATGTTGATAGTACAAAAGCTGTACCTTTTTGAAAGGTATCTGTACCATTAAAGGGGTCATATGATGCTGCTAAAAAGAACATTATTTTGTGTATTTGGTGTAATCAAATGTGTTTATGCGCTTTAAAGTAAAAAAAAAACACATTATTTTCCACATACTGTACATTATTGTTTCTCCTCTATGCCCCGCCTTTCTGAAACGCGTTGATTTTTACAAAGCTCATCGGTCTGAAAAGGGTCGGTATGGAGGATGGAGGAACTGGAGAGACTTCAAATGAGAATCGTTTTATAACAGGTAGTAACTATTTAAAAGTTACTAATAATTTTAAAATTAAAGTTTAAAATAACATTTGACAAAAAAATTAATTGAACAATTCTGATTATTGATTAGTATGGTTAAATTATGAGTGCACTTTTAGTTTGCTTCAGTCCTGGCATCCATTGTAGTGGACATGAAAAAAAAAATCGAATAAAAAAATGTATTTGCACAAATCTTGTTATTTAGACTTATTTCTGCTTGGAGAAGAGCATATCAAGTGATTTTATTTATTTATTTATTTTTTGCTTAGTGGAAAAAAATCAGACCTGAGGGGTATTGCACAAAAGCAAGATAAGAGATTAAGCTGGGATTTTCCAGTTATCCTGGTTGAATTTAGCCCTGACTCAGTTGCATGCAAGCAGGCTAAATTAAGCTAAATTATGTTACTATGGAGATTTATTCTTTGCAGCTAGCCTGCTCCAGAGCAGGCTAACAACCAGGCTAAGATAAATCCTAGTGATTTATCTGTTAGTTCCGCTGACAATCCTACTAGAAATTAATGTGTTTTACAGCCACTCCATGGTCTTCTGTAAATATGTTTTAGTATGGTTAAATTATGAGTGCACTTTTAGTTTGCTTCAGTCCTGGCATCCATTGTAGTGGACATGAAAAAAAAAATCGAATAAAAAAATTTATTTGCACAAATCTTGTTATTTAGACTTATTTCTGCTTGGAGAAGAGCATATCAAGTGATTTTATTTATTTATTTATTTTTTGCTTAGTGGAAAAAAGACCTGAGGGGTATTGCACAAAAGCAAGATAAGAGATTAAGCTGGGATTTTCCAGTTATCCTGGTTGAATTTAGCCCTGACTCAGTTGCATGCAAGCAGGCTAAATTAAGCTAAATTATGTTACTATGGAGATTCCAAAGATACAACACAGAACAGTGCAGAGCCACGCTCTCACTGTCCCACAGATGGTCTGTGTGGCGCTGCGATTCTTAGCAAGTGGCATGTTCATTTATTCTGTTGGAGATGCTGAAAACCTAAATAAAGGCACTATTTGCCGCATGATAAGAAATGTTAGTCTAGCACTGAAATCACTTGCGCACATATTCATCACCTTCCCTGGCCAGAGAAGATTCCACGACATCAAGGAGGAGTTCTACAAGATTGCAGGTAACACTAATTACAGATTACAACAAAAAAGTGTTACCTTAGCACAGTCACAGTAGGAAACTCGTTTTTTACAGCTTTCCCTAATGTCAGTGGATTGCACCCATATCCGTATCAAACGCCCTTCAGGGGCACATGAGGGAGATTATGTTAACAGGAAAGTTTTCTACAGTATCAACGTTCAGGTAAAAATGATTTATGGTTACTGTCAGCTACATAAATTATTTCTGTGCATTAAATGACCTTAATAGGTCACATGTTATTGTTACAGGTGATGCTGACTGCCTTATCACAAATTTAGAGGCAAAGTGGCTTGGCTCGGTCCATGACTCCAGAGTCTTTCGGGCCAGTAGAATTTACCAGAGACTCTCACTAGGTAAGCCACCCCAATTTTTTTAAGCACCTTGGACATCATATGTGTCAGAAGTTTTACTCTGCTAGTTGTAAGAATTATATTTTGTATTCTCAGGTGAGTTCTCTGGTGTGCTGCTATATTTGGGACAGCTTGAGGGTGACTAAATGATGACAAATTTTTCATTTTTAGGCAACCTATTCCTTTAACAAGCTATCTTCAATTCTTTAGGGCAGTAGGGACCCAGTGTCTACTTGTAACCAAAAAATCCACAATATCTCATGACGATTTAAATCTATCACACAAAGACAGATGATATATACATTTTCCATTGAAAATAGGTCATTTAACAAAATGTAAATGTTCTTGTAAATAAAAGCACATGCTTCAATTAGTTGTCATTTAAAGCGGTTCAATAAATCCAAAACAATTAAATCATTTTAATATCAAAACTAAACCATTCTTGGACCCCCATCTTTATTGCATCGCATTTTGCATGTAATGCAAGAAACAAACAACTTTATGCTTGCATTTGGAGCAAACACCAATTCCAAAACAACAATCTTCACAACAGATGGTGCAAATATGCTTTACAAACAGCAACCTATGCCAAAACATTTCCTCCTCATCCTGGAAGTGAAATTAACATTATATCCTTTTACTGTGGTTTTATAGGCTACTGGCATTTCCTACAGTACAATTATTAAAACCCACAGTAAACCATTGTTTTGGTCAAAAGAACCCAAAATGTATATATTGGGTGATACTTCACTGCTTGTAAATGTGACAACCAGTCCTGCCAATTTCCCTGTGTGACAACTAGCCATGTTCTCCTCTATGAACTAACCTAATAAAACAACACAACACTATGGAAAGAGCAACTCTTAATCTAAAAAATTTGTGTTGGTCACTTTAAATAGTTGCTAAGCTTTGCAGAATAATGTCATTGTTCATTCTTCTGATTTCCCATTGGTTCTCTTCTGCTCTACAGCATACCCAGCATATTACACTTTAAAGGCAGACTTTCAGGAAATGCAAGTAGTTTGTCTGTAGTGAACGAATGTGACTCTATTTGGGAAAATTCAGTGGCACAGCCACTGTTTATTTTGAGGAAGATGGATGTTGTTTCCCATTTCACACCATAGGTTTTACAAATAAAGGTAAGGGTTTCTCTTTGTCATGTTTCCTTCATTTTAGAGGTTGTGTAATACAGTGAAATGTATTACAGTGTACAGTAAAAGTGCCTTTGTTGTCCATAGAAGAGCTTTAACATTTCCATTGCAGTCAATGATTGATTAATCTACCATTTTTTGTGTGCAATTGTTCACACTATTATTGGTGATGTTAGAAACCACACATTATGTTGAAAAAAAACCCTTAAGCTTATTTTAATTTGGCAATATCACACAACAGAATGAATGCAGTTAACATGAATGTTGATTTTGAGTGTAACATTTGGCTTTCATACATCAATTAAACGAGTAGGCATAATAAATACATGGCCATGACCGTGTCTTGAACATGGGGGAACCAAAAAAATCTTCTTGTTCTAGTAAAGTTCAAGTTCAGGTACAAGTTAATCAATTTTAAGAAGGTAAAACATAACATGTTCATCAAATTCATTCAGAAATAGGCCTATTCACACATTCTTTCTTAATCATATGCCTGGTGAAAACAGCTCTGTAGTGTATCTTGTCACGTTGTTCAATTACAAATTAGTTTGCATAGTTGTTATTGTCAATCATTTAATATTTTTATAGTAAAACAATGGTCAACTATTACACGTATAACTACTTAAATCTTACCTCGCACTCTTTGACTGTTAAAACTTTGAATTCACACGGCTTCTATTAATAAAGCTTATGTTTTCATAGTTACTCTATTTCTGTTGGAGAAATGGGCCATTACTACTTCTGTGCATGTTTCATCTGTTGCTTGTCTGAAGAGGAGAGGAACTCCATCAACATAAATAATGAAATCAAACGGATCCTTGCGGAGCAGAAGAAAAGACAACGGAGAGAAATCAAGGTGCTTCTATTAGGTGAGATGATTCTGTCAGACTTTTATCAGAATTGTATTAAAATTGGAAACATGCTGATATATTTCAACTTACAATTTGTCTCCAAAAGTGAAAGAAAATGTAATCATAGCATTAAATGTTGTGTCAGTAAAGGTCACAAGGGGTTTGTTACATCATCTCTTGAGGGTAATTTCCTGTCAGGTGTTCCTATAAGAGCTGATTAGACTTGTAGTTATAAAAACTAACTTCACTTTTTTTGGTCCTGAGGTAATTTTAGTAAATGTGTGACTTCAGTTCCTCTTCCCTCACTAAAGCAGGAGCAACATTTTTGTAATACAGTACATACAGATATTTTCTGGTTTCAACATAGCATAAAGAAACATTCAAACACACCCAGTGCTGAGCTTTTGGCAAAGGCAATTAATACACAATTAAAACTTAGATTGTTCTTATGCATGACAGAACACATTCCACTGAGCACAATGGCAAATGACTAGTTTAGAGCAGTGTAAAATTTAGTAAAGTACTATTAGTATGCTTTTTTCAGTTTTCCTGTCTGCAGGTCTCTAATGTTGAAGCATGATCATTTTGCTTTAATTTAGGCACAGGAGAAAGTGGAAAGACAACGTTTATGAAGCAGATGAAAATCATTCATGGAATCGGATTCTCAGAAGACGAGAGACGTAGCTACACTAAACTGGTTTTTCAGAATATCTTTCGATCTATGTGTGCAATGACAGATGCCATGAAGACGCTAAAGATCCCATACTCCAACCCACAGAACGAGGTGATCAAGAAACCGAGTGTTTTTTTAATGAGGATCATTTTATATCAACAATCATATTATCATAGTTTTATTATGGATCAAAATAAAGTATATCGACAAATATATATTGTAATAATTTTTTGCATACATAATAAAAAAATCAACATAATTTTTATCTGTATGTTTGCACCAATTTAGGAAAGACTGGATCCCATACTGTAATGTATTGTCAGTCTCATTAAGTCTTTAATATCTATAGATTTATGCCCAGTGGTTCCAGGATCTGGATATACATCAAATAACACAGCTGCAGAGAAGTTATGTAGAGGTTATTCATCATCTATGGGCAGACAATGGCTTAAGGATTTGTTACAGTCGGCGCAGAGAGTATCAACTTCTAGACTCAACTAAATAGTAAGTGTGTTTAACACAGTTTCTGTCTTTTCCTGACTAGCTGCATCTTTGTCTATTTCCTCTTCGTTTTTCCTAATGCCATTGACAATTCATGCAACAAATGTTATGCAAATAAGGCTTCACAAGGAATTCTATGGCACATGGATTTTCAATCAAAGTGTTTAAATACTGTGTGTGTTTTTTTTTAAAGCTTTATTGATAACTTGGACCGCATTGCAGCTCAAGGCTACATCCCTTCACCTCAAGATGTTCTTCAAGTCCGATTCCCCACTACTGGCATCACAGACCATTGCTTTACTTTGGAGAAGATAACGCTCAGGTACAGAAAAGAACAACCAAGCCCCTTAAAAGGATAGTTGACCCAAAAATGAAAATTCTGTCATTAATTACTCACCCTCATGTCGTTCCAAACCCATATTTTTGATGAAATCTGAGAGCTTTCTGACCCTGTATAGACAGCAACTGACACATTCATGGCCCAGAAAGGTAGTAAGGACATTGATATAAAAGTCCATGTGACATCAGTGGATCAACCGTAATTTTATGAAGCTACAAGAATACTTTTGGTACGCAAAGAAAACAAAAATAACTTTATCCAACAATTTCTTCTCTTCCATGTCAGAATTTGACCCGTGTTCATGACAGTTCATGAACACATCCTTCTTTTCCAGCTGTTTACATAAATTTACAATAATTACAATTTCAATAACTTTAATGCCCAAAGTATGCTTTAGTTTTGACGTGAAAAATCTCTATCTATAGACACTGTGGCTGCCTATCCTATTTTGATAAATGTTCTTACCACATAACATGGTGTTTTGGACCCCATTGACTTTTATTTTAAATGGAAATTATGGACATTCTTCAGAATATCTTTTCTTCTTTCTCAGAAGAAAGAAAGTAATAATGGTTTGGAAAATATAAGGGTTAGTTAATTATTTTTTGGGTGAATTATCCCTTTAAATAATGAAAGCATCATATCCTGAAATACAAAGAAAGTCTTACCTCTGTTGACATGCTGTGCATTGCATGTGGTTTGTTGTTTACATAACTTTCAAGGAACCTCTGGCAAATGAGTTAATTATGCAGACAAGACCAAATGTTCAAGGAAATCAAGGTGAGCCACTATCTGATTTAGAAGAAATGTGACCAAAGCAAAGAAGGAAACAATTTTAGGGACAGATCTGGAATGCAAATCCACCACAGCAGATCAAATAGAAAAGCGGATGAGATGACTGAACTTGATTTCTGGTCTGTCTGTCTTTTCAGGATTGTAGATGTTGGAGGTCAGCGAGGACAAAGAAGGAAGTGGATTCATTGCTTTGAAAATGTGATGTCACTCATATTTCTAGCATCCCTCAGCGAGTACGACCAACTTCTGGAGGAGAATAACAAGGATGTACGTTTCTGCCTCTCTCCTCATATGTCTACACTCCTTCCTGTGTAATAATGATAAATCTGTTCATCTGTGTACTTTTGCTCTATTTGGCTCCAGAACCGTATGGAAGAGAGTTTGTCTCTGTTCTATACAACCATCCACTCAACATGGTTTGTTAATTCCACCGTCATTCTCTTCCTAAACAAAAAGGACATCCTGGCCGAGAAGATTCAGTTCTCTCACCTAAAAACATACTTTCCTGAATTTAACGGTAGATTGGTGCACATTAAATTAAGTGTAAGGCAAAATTAAATGTGTGATCTCTTGCTTGACATATCTGATTCACTCTTCTTTTCTTTTCCTCTGTGGTTTGGCGCCACCTTCAGGAAAACGTCGGGACATTCAAGATGCCTTGAAGTTCATCAACAATTTATATAAACAAAAAGCAGTCTCCTATGAAACAAAAAACTCCAAAAAAATCTACTGTCACTTCACCTGCGCCACAGACACCAAAAACATCCAGACAGTCTTCACTGACGTGAAAGACACCGTCCTCATCCAGGCCTTAGAAGACTTTGGAATGTTCTAATGAGCCCAGACGCACCTACATGGCACTCGGCATGAGACTGTATTGATCCCAATGCCAATCCATGTACATTCAGAAACACTAATATTTTATGGAGACACGTTTGCATACTCTTCAGCCAAACTAAATTATTTATAACTGACCATCCAAAATGTAATTATGGGTTAGTTTTCATGTTCATAATAACTAACCTATATTTATATGTGAAAAATGTACATTTTACATTTTAAATTTACAAATTTACACCCATTAAAAATCACAGTGACATCAGTTTTTATAATTAAAAACATGGCTCAGAAAGGTGTTTTGGTCTGAGAAAAGCTCTCGCATCAATTTGTTGTTTAATGCAATGAAATTCAGATTTGGGTGTGACTTTAACATCTCAAATTAACTACTAAATTAAGCTTCCCTAAAAAATATAAAGCCATTCTTATTTAGCTATATGGTACAATTCAACATAAAATTAAGTGGTAACTTTGTAACTGTGAATTTCTCACTAAGACCAAGAGGGAAGGTAGGTATACCACAAAAAGAGAACTGTTACAGATGCATCCTGAGACCTGAGACCTATCAAGTGAAGTGTCATTGTTTGTCAGACGGTGTCTCCATACAGCAAAACAGGATGTGACAAACAGTAGCATTGGGCCACTCATGACTGAGCCATTGTTCACGGTGTAGTAGTGTGTCAGAATTCATCTCGGCTGTGGTTTTACTATGCATTTTTTGTTGTAACAAGCACCAACAACAAGGAAATAGTGTAAAAGTTTGATAGTAATGATAACACACCTTGAGTCATGTAGTAAACATTTAATTTTTTTACAACCCCTAAAAAAGTATGTTCTATATAGTATGAATGTATGTATGTAATTCGGATGTACTAGATTTGCCATGTTGTCTTGGTCATGGGACCTACCAGCTTTAGTTGCTTAGCTTCACTACTACGCACAAATCCTCTCCTGTGGCCTCATGGGATAGTAAAGTGTCCACTGGATGCACTCTTCAGAATCTTCTACAGAGGTAGTAGGTCATGCAGGCACTTTATGCCTGTTGTTTCATGAATACTATGAATTCGGACATACTAGCCTTTTCACATGCTGTTTTTCACCTATTTAGAGAAGTATGCATATTCAGACTCCATGGGCCTGTCCCAATTCCCACACCTGTGGTCTTTGCACTTGACCACCAATCTATATACATTATGTATTTCTAGAATTTCGCCCAAGTGTTCTAGTGTGCATTAAGACAAGTGTGGATACAACTTTTGATTACCCGATGGGGCACTCTTACAATAGTGTTGTAAAAAATGCTTTAATAGTGCTTTATTTACACATTTTGTATTTTCAATACTTTGTACTTTAAAGTAAACTTCCAAATGCCCCACACCTGTGGTCTTTGCACTTGACCACCAATCTATATACATTATGTATTTCTAGAATTTCGCCCAAGTGTTCTAGTGTCCATTAAGACAAGTGTGGATACAACTTTTGATTACCCGATGGGGCACTCTTACAATAGTGTTGTAAAAAATGCAACACTATTGCATTTTAGTTTGCATTTTTAATAGTGCTTTATTTACACATTTTGTATTTTCAATACTTTGTACTTTAAAGTAAACTTCCAAATGTCTGTTCAGTAGTCCAACAGTCAACATTATTTAATTGTGTTTCTAATGAAGTGATAAAAAGCAGTTGTAAATGTTTTACAAATATACTCATCTCTGTGCCAATAAAATGTGCAACACTATGTGTTACTACCAAAATTGTATGTACTATCTTAATTTAACTTACACTGTTTTAGCGATTTTCAACCTGGGACAGAACTTCCTGTGGCGTGCACGCACTCTCAGGTGTCCAAAACTGTGACATACATAAAGACCAATAAAGACTGTACAATCGATGTACACTCAATGGCTAGCCGTTAGGCTTACACCCATACACTGTGAAGGCAGAATGAATTCCCGCAGTCTTGCCAGAATATGGCGTCTGCAACATTTCTGGCGCACTCAGTGTCCGAATTCACTCACTTGTTTTCATTAACTTTCAGTGCTCTACATTAGTGGAGTAATATAGGGAATAGTGGATGAGTTTATAGGATATACTTTCAGATACAGCATAAGTGTTTTTGAATCAGTTGAGTGAATGAATTCCGGTTCATTAAATGTAGCCTAAATGCAGTCACTTGTTGCCATCTACTGGCATAACAGCGTAACCTGCAGAAAGAGCGACTGGAAAATCCCCACCATAAATGCACAAACTCTTGCTCAGTCAATCAAATTTGAGATCTGAAATAGCTGTTTTATAGACTGTAGCACCAGTTAACACTGGACCAGTCAAAAATGCTAAATGAAATACAATGCAAGGATTTCCAGGAACACATACACATTAACAGAACATCATCTATTCTTTAGGGCAATAAGGACCCAGTGTCTTCTTGTAACCAAAAAGCCACAACATCTCATGACCATTTAAATCTATAACGCAAAAACAGAGGATACATACATTTTCCACCGAAAATAGGTCATGAACAAAAGCAATAAAGAGTCATAGTCAACATAATCTTGTAAATCGAAGCACATGCTTCAATTTGATGCCATTTAAAGCGGTTCAACAAATCCAAAATATTTGAATAATTTTAATATCAAAGCTAAATAATCCTTGTATGCCTGGATCTACATCTTTATTGTATTGTATTTTGCGTTTTCAACAGAGTATGAGCCCTGCCAAGAAACAATTTAGCATTTGCATTTGGAGCGAACAGCAATTCCACAACAATGGCCTTCACAACAGATGGTGATACCCTCCAAAACATATCCTCCTCATCCTGGAAGTGAAATGAACATTGGTAATTTCACCTCTGGACTATTATTGTGGTATATTACAGCATATTATATTGAGATGAAACTGAAAGTATTAACATGTTGACCTCCGCAGGGCACCAAGAAGCCAAATTTGCTCAAAAGTTTCTTTTATTCTATTGTCTTGCATAACTGAAAGCAATACCTGTCATTTTTCATCAAGTTGCCTATATTTCCAGGTCACCTCTTCCATTTGAATCAGTTGCCCATCACATTTTTGTTTGTTTGGATTTTCTAATTCAGTGAAGCATCATTGACGAGTTATGAATTTTATTGATGTATTTCTTTCATTATTTTTATGTACCTATACAGCAGCTGGAGCATGTTTTTAAAAGAAAACACTATTTCAGTCTTCCTATTTCAAAATGTCACGTTTAATTTAGAGTGCTACTTGTAGTTTATTTGTAATTATTGTGAAATGCCCTTGCAATTTCTGCAACTTCTTTTTTTTCTTCAGTGTAGGCCTATTAGTTACTGTCAGAACCTGCAAATATCACCTTTATGAATTATTGTATGAATAAGTTGCTCTTGCAATTTTTATACTCATCTCATGTATAATAAGCTACCTATATATTTTATACAAAAATATATTTTAAAAAGTGATATTAACAGACCAAATTTAGCATAAACCTTATTGATGATGCATATTTTGTACAGGCAAGCAAATGAACCCAGAATATAAATGTAACGCACAACTGTTTTCCCAGAGAAAACCATTATATATATTAAAAAAGAGAGAGCGGTGATCTAAATATTTGTGACTTGGAAACAGTAGGAAAACTGAGAGGCTTGTGCTGCAGTTCTGGATGTTCTTCCCTCCAGGTCTTCGAGGCACGTGACAGGAAACTATGAATAGGTTTATGTGGGAGGTGTGTTGATAATTATATTCCAGTTTGGTTGATTCTCCTAAAACGTGTTTTAAAACCATTCTGTCTTTCTCCAGGACTTTGACTTACTTACCTGGTTCCCATGGCAATATGTGGACTATAGGCAATCTCAGTATCTCACAACACAGTGAAAGGCCTGATAAACCGGTTCTGCCTATGAAGACAAAAGACTAGCTTCCAGAGCCCAAGAGAGAGGAGTGTCAAATACCTGCACAGCTAAAAGTTAACACCACTTGTAACTTCTAAAACAGGTTTTGTACTTTTCTGCCTGAAACTGGATGTTTTTCGTTAACGTGATACTCAAAACTAATAATCCACACTCATCTGCTTAGGCCAGTCTTGGCAAGTACTGTAAATTCCATTCACTGTCAATATTAGTTGATTATAAACAGCTTTTAGGTTTACAGTCACTTTAGCACGCATTCCACTGACAGACGGATGTTTCTCAAAACGTAGTAAGCTGTCTACCTAGACGGCATTTTTGGGAGATATGATGCCAAAAAATGCTGACTAGCACACCCCTGGTGGGGCGTTCACATCGGGCGCGTTCTTCTCGGTTTATGTACGCATGCGTCGCGTCTCCAGCGTTTTGCGTCAAACTAATAACTTTTGAAAACCCACCTCGGGACCCTTGCGTTCTATTCGGCTTCACTACGTCTAGCAGCTTTTAAACACAAGAACGCGCCCCCTAAGATGCCCAAACCGCTGTCTAAGTAGGCAGCTGACTAGATTTTGAGACAGCCCATATTCACAGTGACAATCCGCGTTCAAAAAGGACTTTCCTGAATTGCAGGTAGACCCGTCTGAAGCCAAGGAGGAAAAATCATGTGACAATTACAGAAGAATTTGGATTTTTGAGGGGGGGGGGACTTCTTCAAGATAAAGAAGTTGGTTCAAACCCAGTTCGGCTCAGGGAGAATAATGGATCGTGTTTCGTAAAGGCATTACTGACTCCGTACAGGTGTGTCGACGAATGCAGGTAAGTGATTCGTCGCGTTTATGTTGTAATGCCTATTTAGTTTTGTTTAGGTAATAAAAGCCACTGTGCACTTGCAATTAGAATTAGGTTTCTTCTTTTTCTTCTCAGGGGAAGTCCAAGATTGTGAAATGTGTTTAAAATAGAGTTTTCAGCAGATATCAAAAGTACACAAAAGTTGGTTTTCCCCTGAATAGTCTATATTATACGCATGCGTGTATCCTATATGTAGGAATGGAATTTTATACATTTGAGGGTAGCTAGGCCTACTGTATAGCCTATACTTGGTGATGGAAGTTCGGCTCATTTCCGCGAATCGGTTCTTTCGAACAGTCCGAAAACGATTCAGCGATACGATACGTTTTTGTCACAACAACGCAATAAACTTTCTCGCATAGCTATTACAAGCTCCTGTCTCAGTTCAGTTTGTTGCAGCCAACATATATTTGTACCTAAAAACAATTTGTTATATTAAATCAACATTATTGTTGCTACTTGCATCAGTCGACCTTCTGAAGAACCTCTCGGATCGATACAGACTGTTTTGTGAACCGGTTCAATTGATTCATTAAAAAGTTTCGACTCAAAACAACATCGCTGTTGTATTATTCGATATGTTGTTTATCATATTTTCTTAATAAACATTACATTAAATTGGATATTTATCTCTTTATGCCTCTTCAGAAAGTTTAAGGGTTATTTTTGTACTGTAGGGGAGATGGGGGTCTGTTGGAGATGGTGCTACACGACATGCGTCTGTTGCTTGTCTGAAGATGAGAAGAACGCCATCGCCATACACAACGAAATCAAAAGAATCCTTGCCGATCAGAAGAAACGAGAACGCAGAGAAATCAAAGTGCTTCTGTTAGGTGAGATATGTCTACATATTAAAGTGTTTATATATTTAAAAACTATTAGAAGCACAAATGTGGACACCGAAGACATCACCTAAGGAGCTGCCTGAGATCTTTAAATGTAGTATCAAGTGAGTGCATCTCTGAGTCATCCTAACTGTGAAGGGAGTGAACCATTATGTGGAGAATATTTTTTTTTTGCATTACTGTTGAAGAACATCAACAAACCAGAATGACAGATTATTGTTGTGGCAAATTAAATTGAGGGATGATGTTGAGGTGTTTTAACTGCTTGACATGTCACGTTACCTATCCATTGTTGTGGCTCCTACATGGAGATAGTTGTATGTCAAGTTAGTATGACTAATCTCTTTATCACGCTACGTCTTGAGGGACACATTCTTGAGAGATCAGGTGATCAGGGCATGCCTGACTTTTTTTTTTCTGCTCGTTGTGATAATGGAGTGGGTAAAAACTGCTCACACTGATTTGATTTGATTTGATGTGATGTGTGATTGTTTGCCCGTCAAATATTTGCCATTTGAGAAACAGCGAGAACAGTCTAAGTCACTGATAACAGGTTAACGCTCGTCTGCTCAAATCACTTAAACCCAAACAATAGGAGAGAAATAGTTGTAGAGTTCACAGCCAAGAAAGTCCCCCGATGGTGCAGGACACCTCAGTTTAAAGGCATCCAAACACGTCCAGCTGCATCTGCTCTGTTAACAGGACAGATAACATTCCTTTGTGTGTGAAAAAAGCCTCAAATGTTATCATCTGCATGTTGCATTCCTTTCGGTTCTCCATTTTTGTCATTCCATGACCTGGTTTCAGAACTAGCATTTGACATCCCTTTTTTGTTTCATGTAATATTTATTTATTTATTGTGGATTTCAGGCACTGGAGAAAGCGGGAAGACGACTTTTATCAAGCAGATGAGGATTATTCACGGCAAGGGCTTTTCCGAAGATGACAGGCGTGGATACACTAAACTGGTTTTTCAGAATATCTTCACAGCTATGAAGGCTCTGACAGCGGCCATGAACACCCTCAGGATTCCCTATGCTAACCCGCAAAACGAGGTGACCTGCCAGAGAAAAACTCTGATTGTTTCCGAATCCCTCTCAGTATTATATTTGAAATTAAGTGCACAACAGTCTTTTGAAACACCCACTGACAGCACAATTTACACAAGCAAGTACTACCTGTTTCAGACACTGGGTTGTGATTACTACTGAATTTGTATGGGCAGGGTATTTCAATCAAATTAACTATTGCCAAATTTGACCAAAAAACTAACTTAATTATGTAATATAAAATATGTAAAATTCATTTTTAAATTTATATACTCTGTACAATTACTGTAAAATGATTCTAAATTATTAGTGCAGTACATATTGTTTTTACATTACAAATTTGATAATTAGTTTTTATAATTATTTCACAAAAGTAAATATATATATGTGTGTGTGTGTGTGTGTGTGTGTGTGTGTGTGTGTGTCTATATATATATATATGTATATATAGACACACACACACACACACACACACATTTAAAGGGGTCATATGATGCGATTTCAGTTTGTCCTTTCTCTTCGGAGTGTTACAAGCTCTTGGTGCATAAAGAAGATCTGTAAAGCTGCAAAGACTAAAGTCTCAAATCCAAAAAGA